ATAAGGGTGAGTGGGCCTGAAAATAAAGTTTTAATAAAAACCTTTGAAAACATTATAACTCCTCGCTGTAAAACTTGTATAGTTTCCAAAATATACATACTATGTATGGTATGAAAATACTTGTCGTACCCTGCAAAATGTAAATAAGGCATGACATCCCAAAATTACAAACTCTTAACAGTAATATAAGTAAAATCAGGTGCTCAACAAACTATGCTAGCACAACAGTCGGAGTCGCCTAATGCGACCTGTACGACTGTACTAATGCTTATCAATCTATGCTAGCACACGAGTCGGAGTCACCTAATGCGACCTGTACGACAGGACTGGGTGTAATCATAATATAGACTCTAGTGCTTCGATCATGTGAAGACTGGCGATAAATCGCGGTCACCTACGAGTTGGAGTCGCCTAATGCGACCTGTACGACAAGACTTGCACCTACTTGGATCTAAGGCGAACGTGTGGTGTGGAGGTGAACATACCAGTGCATGACTGGCCCTAGCCCGGGGTGAGCACTAACAACGGGGTGCAGTAATGATGAGCAGACTACATAAATATAAGCATGCCATAACAATTCAATAATTATAATCAACATAATAAACTTACCTGAGTATCCCGTAGGATTATTTAGGCATCTCACAACAGTGCAACATTTCTTATAACATTATTTAATCAGGGCATCAAAGATTATAAGCATACCTATGCATCCCGTAAAATTTATGATAACTTCATAATTTTCTGTTATTTCGTTAATTCTTATAAACTTTAGTCTAGACCAGGCGTACGTAAGAAATTCTTTTCCAAATGCATAAATGGAAACTATCAATCATACACACACACACACACACACACACACACACACACACACACACACACATACACTATAAAAAGAGAAAAACCCACTCACTTGAAGTCTGCGCTACAACTCCCTAGCACGAATAACCAGGCATCACTAACGATTGTCGCCTATAACAAATATCAAATCATGTCTCAGAATTCTTATCGATAGAACATGTAGCTTACATAAAACACATCCCCAAGCGTTCTAGAATGATTTGAAATTTGTTCTAGGTGACGATCATTAATGACGCCTCGATGTTCGTGCTAGGGAGTTGTAGCATGGATTCCAGGTGAGTGGGTCTTTCCCTTTTTATAGTGTACATATATATATATGATTGGTAGTTTCCATTTATGCATTTGGAAAAGAATTTCTTATGTATGCCTGGTTTAGATTAAAATTTATAAGAATTAGCGAAATAACAGAAAATTATGAAGTTATCATAAATCATACGGGATGCATAGGTATGCTTATAATCTTTGATGCCATGATTAAATAATGTTATAAGAAATGTTGCACTGTCGCGAAGTGCTTAAATAATCGTACAAGAAGCGCAGGTAAGTTTACTATGTTGATTAGAATTATTGAATTGTTATGGCATGCTTATATTTACGTAGTCTGCTCATCATTGCTGCACCCCGGTGTTAGTGCTCACCCTGAGCCAAGGCCAGTCGTTCACGTGTATGGGTCAGTCTTGTCGTACAGATTACATTAGGCGACTCCGACTCGTGTGCTAGCATAGTTTGTTGAGCACCTAATTTTACTTATATTACAGTTGAGATTTTGTAATTTTGGGATGTCATGCCTTATTTACGTTTTGCAGGCTACGATAAGTATTTTCATATTATATGTAGTATGTATATTTTGGAAACTATACATGTTTTACGGCGAGGGATTCTAACGTTTTCAAAGGTTTTTATTAAAACTTTATTTTCAGGCCCACTAACCCTTATTTTTCACCCCTCCAGGTTTTAGTAGTGAGCTTTCATATCGACGAGAATTCTTGGCAAATTTTGGGGTAGACGAGTTACCTTCGATGGTATAATTTCTCACCCTATTTTACTGTCATCACGTGCGAATTGGGTTCATTCCTGCTCACAACGCACTCTTGTATTTAGGCACTTTTAGGTTTAAATTTATTCACATTTCTACATCACTACACTTTATGGCTTCATCGCTCTTCAGGTATCGATCAGCACAGCTCGATTCAGAGTCTAGGTGGACGTTCGGGGTCTGGGTGTGTCAGAATTTGTCATCCATGAGATTTGAACCTAAGACCTCTCATTTTCAAGTGAGGAGGAATACCATTAGACCGTAGTATTGACTATTGAGTGACTTAAAAAAAAAAAAAACAAAACAACAAACAAAAAAAACAAAAAAAAAAGCAGAGCATTTGTTAAAATAGGTGGCTTAATCTCAACAGTAGGATGATGTTGGACTGTCAAGATTAAAAAGGCTTGTATGTACAGTCGAGCACAAACCGAGTCTTAATTTAAGTGGCGGGTTTTACACACAAGGATTGAGCAGAGCATTTCATTAGGGTTTAAGCTAAAATCTCCCTCAGAAATGGCGTCTCTCATGGCGATTCGACGCGCACGAAGCCCTTCGCTGTCTCCTTTCTTAAAGTTACGGCCTCTTCACCATTCTCATTTCGCCTCCTTTCACGGCAACAACACCACCGCCATCCCAACCCTAACATCAGCGAAAACCCTAAGCACCTCCGCCGTCCCAAATGAGTACCCGAGGCCTCCTCAGCAGCAACCCCCGCCGTCCGATCCTAGGTATTTCAATGAGCAGGCGAACCCTAACCAGTGGAGCCCAGAAGGTCAGGGATACGGCAACCCGAACCAGTGGAATTCGCAGACCCAGGGCCAGAGGCCTGGGATCAGTTCAGTTATCAGGGTCAGAACCAGAGCTATCCCAATCGGGGATATCCTAATCAGGGTTCGGACTATCCCAATCGCGGATATCCTAACCAGATTAACCAGAATCAGAGCTACCCACAACGCGGAAACTCGAATCAGTGGAGTCCGGCTCAGGGGCAGGGGCAGGGCACTCCTCAGTATCAAAACCCTAACCAGGTGAATCCTCCTCCGCCGAGCCCCAATTTTCAGCAACCCAGAAGCCCAAATCAGTGGAACAATCCCAATCAAGGATACCCACAACCTGGAAACCGTAATCAGTGGAGCCCACCAGCTCAAAACCCTAACCAGTGGAGCCCCCAACCTCAAAACCCTAATCGGTGGAGCCCACAAGTTCAAAACCCTGCTCAGGCTGTGAATCAAACCCCGGAAGTTGTGCCCCGTTCGATCGATGATTTGAGGAGGTTGTGCCAAGAGGGAAAGGCTAAAGAAGCCCTTGAGTTGATGGATAAGGAAGGGGTCAAGGCTGATGCTGATTGCTTTCGTTCTTTGTTTGAGTTGTGCGGGAGGTTGAAGTCGCTCGAGGACGCAAAAAAGGCTCATGATTTCTTTTTGCAGTCTACCTGCAGGGTTAATCGTGAGTTAATCCATAAAATCATTGAAATGTATGGAAAATGTGCGAGCATGACTGATGCACGGAGAGTATTCGATCATATGCTTGAGAAGAATATTGATTCTTGGCATTTAATGATTAATGGGTATGCGGATAATGGGTTAGGAGATGATGGATTGCAGATGTTTGAGGTGATGAGGGAGAAAGGGTTGCAACCCAATTCCGAAACTTTCCTTGCAGTATTCTTAGCTTGCGCTAGTGCAGATGCGGTGGAAGAAGCATTTATACATTTTGAGTCGATGAAAACTGAGTATGGAATTTCTCCAGGAGTGGAGCATTATATGGGAGTTTTAGATGTGCTTGGAAAATGTGGTCATCTTTATGAAGCAATTGATTATATTGAGAAGCTCCCATTTGAGGCTACAGCGCGGTTTGGGAGGCATTGAAAAGTTATGCTCGGATTCATGGAGATATTGATCTTGAAGATCATGCTGAGGAGTTAATGGTTGCTCTTGACCCGTCAAAGGCTGTTGCGAATAAGATCCCAACTCCACCACCGAAAAAGCATACTGCTATTAGCATGCTTGATGGGAAGAACAGAATTAGTGAGTTTAAAAATCCGACACTCTATAAGGATGATGAGAAGTTAAAGGCTCTTGCTGCGATGAAAGGAGGAGGCTATGTGCCAGACACAAGATATGTCCTTCATGACATTGATCAGGAGGCTAAGGAGCAGGCCTTGCTTTATCATAGTGAGCGTTTGGCAATTGCGTATGGTCTCATCAGTACTCCGCCAAGGCAAACTCTTAGGATCATCAAGAACCTCCGCGTCTGCGGTGACTGCCATAATGCCATTAAGATCATGTCGAAGATTGTTGGAAGGGAATTGATCGTCAGGGACAACAAACGATTCCATCATTTCAAGGATGGAAAATGCTCTTGCGGGGATTATTGGTGAAGAGCAGATGTCACCTCAGAGCTGTCTAAAGAGTTCTTCCCAGTTGCAGTTTGGTGTGTAAAAATTTCGAACAATGCCGAGCTATATACGGGATCCTTTGCAGACCAGTACCCGTGCTTCTAGTTGGTAGGAGATTAACCATCCACTGCTTGTTTCGACATACATACTGAGCTTTATATGCATTGCATATCTATTTGTCAAAATGCCAAATCACATTTGCTTATCCTTTTTCAGCCTTCTGATTGCTTTCTTCCTATGAGATGCTTATGGAAATAGCTGTATTTTGGTTAATGATGTCTTGAAGCTATTAGAACATACTGTCAAAACATGTCAGGATGGTTGTTTCTCTAACTTTATGGTGCACAGATGGTGTTTTGGTATTTAGTTAAATTGCATGAATTTTTTTGGTCTGGTGGTACTATTTCTGCTCAATATTAGAAGACGTCCCGAATTCGAATTTACGGTCCCCATTTATAAAACAAGAAAGGAGGGACTTTGGCATGATAGATGACCAGTGTCCAATTTAGATGATGTTCATAAGACTATATTTTGATGAGATTCTTAGCTCTCTCTCTCTAGTTGTATATCCCTTCGTGCCTTTGATCATGTGATGAGTGAGATAAACACAATTGTGTCTTGATCATGTGATGAGCGAGATAAACACAAGGCAAATTATACCACCAGTGACAAGGCATATTATCTCGAAGAAAATAAGAGAAGCATTTGTTGTCTTTGGGAAACAACGTAATCTCAAATTATGCTACTGCCATTCACCATACAAGGCAAATTCCACACAAAAGTGCTTCACATGGATTTACATAAACACACACAAACACAAATGAAATTAGGTCTCTATTGCTCTATGCTGGTCTCATGGAACGAGTCATCATGTTCATGAACTCATCTAGGTCAACCATACCATCCCCATCAGTGTCAACCGCTCTCACCATCCGCCGGCAGTCTTCAAGGTTGCACCTCTCCCCCAACCTCCTCAGCACTTCCATAACTTCTTCTGCACTAATCTTTCCATCGCCGTTCAAATCAAACGTCCGAAAAGCATCCTGGATGTCCATCGTTCGAATCCCTCCCTTCTTGTGTACTTCCATGAACTCCTTGAAACTGATAAAGTCATCCCCATCCAGATCAACAATCTTGAAAATCTTCGGCACTTCTCCAATCATGTTTCCCTTTCCCAGTGCTCTCAGTATCGCCTTGTACTCCGCCTGAGATATCTTCCCATCTTTGTTGGAGTCGAACTTTTCAAATACTTTCTTCATCTCATTGGGATTTGGCTCGAAAGTAGGTGCTATGCCGGAGTTTTGCCTGTCTCGAAAGGAAAACATCTGAGATGGTTTGCGCAGAAACTTCCTCTTTGAGAGGTTGTATTGGAAGTCGAGGAAGTTTGCATTCGCCATATTCGTCTCAGCTGATCAAGAAGAACTACGAAAATCAAACTTCGTTGCAACGGTCCAGGTAGCCCTCACTAGAGATTGCAGAAACCGGGTGTCTCCGATCTTTATATACTGAACACAACAATTTGATTCCTTTACCAATTTGTGGTAACTCAAGAACAAAAGATTCTTAGGTGATAACTGACGGAAAAAGCAAGGAATAGATAAGAAAGAACACATTCTTTAGAAAAGCTACAAGCAACTACAATCTCCTTTCTCCTACTCAAAACTCTCCTTTTGAAGAGTGGCATTACTTTTTTTTCCCGGTATACCAAACTAATCGTAAAATATTTCCTGGTATACGAAAAAATCTCGTAAGAAATAACTCCGTTTAGCTCATGGCGGTTTTCCGTTATCCAAATCCTCCATCACTTCAATGTCCTTGCGAGCTGTTATCTTCTGTACATATCCTGCAATGGTGAACGTCTCGGTAAGAAGTCGTAGGGTTGTAATTCAAAGCCACAAGGATTACGAAAGAATCAGTAAAGTTACAAAGCACGCATTAAACGCAAAAATGAGGACCCGAAGGAATCAGTAAAGTTTCCTTTTGAGCTTTGAACAATCTTTCAAGCCCTTTAAGCATCCTACCCATAAAGGCTTCCTTCATAAAGTAAATACCAAAGTTACATTGTCCTTGATTCTAGTTTTAGCACTAAACCACCATCCAATAGAAAAGAAAGTTGGCAAAAAGGAGAGGACGACAACAACAACAAAGCCTTATCCCACTAGGTGGGGCCAGCTATATGAATCCTAAAATGTCATTGTCCTTTGTTTTGTGCCATGTCTTCCGTTAGATCCAAGTAGTCCAAGCTTTTTTTTAGAGTCTCTGTCCAATACTTCCTAGGTCTTCCCCTACCTCATTGGCCCTGAGCCTCTGTCTCGTAATTGCATCTCCTAACTAGAGCATCTGTAGGTTTTAGTGCAGAAAAAGAGAGAATTGAAAAAAAAACAGTAGAGACATGCTTATGTTAGTTAATTTAATTCCGTAAATCTTGAGATGATATATTTTATCCTTCACCTAAGTTGCAAACTTAACTTAAAGAAACATTTGAACGAGAAACTAATTTGAGGACTGGACTCAAAAACTTACACATCAACCAATACAACTCATGATTACTAGAGGAAAATCTCAACCAGCCAACAGGAACTGGTTTCTCGCTTCTAATTGTCTCTATAAATTCTATTGAATATAGTCATAGATGAGAGATGGAAGAATTGCATATACCAGAAACCACAAGGATGCTTCGTCCAACATTAGCCAGTAAGTTCATTGTACTCAGGATAACTGTCAATCACTACCTTATACAGTTTCATTTCCAATAGGAGCGATTCTTTGCCTTGACGCTGTGAGAGCTTCCGGTTCATGAGTATGAGTACTATCCGCTCTTCACAAGCTTAGATTGTTTATAATTCACTAGATAGTAACATAATACATGTAATTAAATAAATTAGATGATAACATACTATCATAGCTCCTTATATTTATCTCTCTTTCTCACACACACACAGAGATGGAGTCAATGTTTATGCCAACCGACAATGGTTAAGTTGTGCTACCGCCTGTTGGCCTCAGTAATTGAGAAAATGAGAGGTATGACAGGGAACTCTATAAGTTCTTGACATAATTTATGTATACGAGAGAGAATTCAGAGAAGCCAAATGGCAAAACGTACAACATAAAAATTTCCCAGAGGTATGCAAAGAAACCAAGTAGAACTTCCAGATACCCGAATAAATCATATCAAAGGATTATTCCCAAGTAAGAAGGCCTTTTTGTTCCCACTTGCCTACGTTAGAGAATTCGAACAATGACTTCGATGATGGCTCTATTCCCAAGATTTGCACTAAGCGTGTTCAGTTTGGCTGTCAAGCCTACCAGTCGGAGTATATAACTTAGCCTTGTATTGTTTAGAAGGGAGAACGTTGACATATTCCGACAAGCCAATCGGTATTTGTACCAGTCTATGTTAAAAATCAAAATACGCTTCTAAGCGTTTTAACAAAGTATCAGAAAATCTACTGTTTAAGAGATAAAACCCGTTTACTTACTCTTCGTGTGAGTGTTTAAAGTAGTAAACAGTATGAACACACACACACACATATGTAATGAACAATTCAATAAGCCCCCCATAAGAGAAGAAAATGTAGAATCATACATACCAATTCCTTGGCAGGGTACGCATTTGCGGACTGTCTCTTTTCTTCTTTTGTTGTAATAACTTACAAATCCCGAGCCTTGGCAACTATTGCACTTTCCTGTCCATTCGTACACAACTTCCTTGCAATCCTACAACAATTTCCTTATCTTTTTAATAAATATTTTGATTGAATGATCCACAAGCAACTTTGCAGAATACAAGAAGTTAGATTCTGACCTCAAGTACAGGATCGCATCGGAGCCTCCGGTCAATCTCCTCCACCGAGACCGGAGACGTATTGGGATAAGTCATGGGGAGCGGGAGGGCGTCGCCGTTGTCGAACAAGTAGCTCTCTCTATCACGCGACCATTTCCTCTCCTTGGCGTTCACCTTAACACCAGAACTGCCACTGCTGCCGCGTCGAGGTCAAAGTCTTGGCCAATTTGGACGCCGATGGAAGCCCCGTCAGCGGTGGCAGAGGGGAATTGGATTGGGCGGGGAATGTGGGGCCCCGGGGGAGGTCGCCGGTGCCGGAGCCGCAGCGGAGGGGTGAGGGTCTGGTGGGGAAGAAGAGGCGAGGGTTAGTAGCCAACATTCCAAGAAATGCTTAGGAGGTCAAGAGCCAGAGGAGAGAGACAGAGAGAGGGAGAGAGGTGATATTTAGAAAATCAACCGTCATATTTGAATATTTAAATCTTACTGTTACGAAAAGTTTAAAATTTAGATTATGCGGCTATGAATTTGGGGCATTCAATATGCCACATCCTATGATGCAGTACGGGTAAAGAATGCATGTGCATCACTTCATCTAAACATCTCTGGAAAAATTCATCTAATTTATATAACTTTTAGTCAGTAACGTATGTCAAATAAATTGTCATTTATTGTAATTTGGAGCATTCAATATTAGTGCGCATTGTAGCCACAATATGTGATGTAGAATGAGTAAAGAATGCATATGCATCACTCCATCTAAAGATCATCTAATATCCTCATGATTATTGTCAACTTGTTTGATTCACATATATAACTAAACAATTTTCAAATCAAAAGAAATTGTTTAAAGATGATCTTTAGATAATGATAAATGGAATGAATAATTCATATTATGATGTTTGCAAGGAGTCAAGTATTATCTTGAAAAGAATGAGTCATTCCTATTCCGCAATACTTTTTTGTTTATCAAAACTAATAGAATGGAAAGTTGTGCGAAATCCACCTACCGTTGCATATGAAAGGACAATATTGCCCTCTTACTCAGGAATGAGGACTTTCTTTCTTCTCCATAACATTATTTTGTTAGGATGCCATATGACATCATCTGTTTGTGACAAGCGTACAATGGATATAAGTTGGTTAGACGTAATTAGTTGGTAGTTACCACAAATAGTGCATTGCATCTGTTTGTGACAAGTACTATGTTAAACCCTTCTTTGTGCAATTACGAAGACATAGAGCAAGGAATCTATCATTGTTATCAAGCCAGTTTGTTCCTCTTGATCCTTAAACGTTGTATGACACAGCAAGCTTTGCAAAAAAGTATGGAATCCAAGATTTCCAGTTTGGAGACTGAGATCGATGAATTCAAGAACTTGCAAGATGAAGTTAAAGCGACTCAAGAATTGATCTTGGTGCAATTGCAGTCACTCATGGCACGTTGTAATGGCGGTCCTTTGGGTGAATCTTCTGAAGCTACCTTTGGTGAGAACCAAGGTCAGGATCACATGTACCCGAATTTTAATCACCAAGAATTTGGGAACAATGGTAATCAGCAGATTCAATCTTCGTTCTTGAAATTGGATTTTCCGAGATTTAGTGAAGGAGATGATCCTTTGGTGTGGATATACAAAGCAGAACATTATTTCGATTTCTTCAACATTGAAGAATCCAAGAAAGTGAAAATAGCTTCATTTCACATGGAGGAAGAAGCTTTACAATGGTTTCAATGTGCTCATTGCTTGATTAATTACACGAATTTGGAAGATTTTATGACAGTTATGTATCAAGAATTTGGTCCTTCTGAACTCAAAGATTTAGCTAAGAATCTGGTAAAGTTGAAGCAGTTAGGAACTCTTAAGGATTATGTGCTCAATTTAAGAAGATTAGCTAATCGAAAAAAAGATATCAGTTTTGCATTACTAAAATAATGTTTCATTGGAGGATTAAAGCTAGAATTATGACATCATGTGAAGTTACTGAAACCCAAAAATGTTCTTAAAGCTGCAGCTTTTGCTCATCAAATTGATGCAAAACTCATAGATCTTAAGTTGAAATCTAAACCTCCTTTTTGTAATCAAAATTTTGATCTCCTCTACAGAACTTGAATACTAATGTTGTGAGTAAAATTCGTCCCAAACCTCATAATATTAGGCGATTAACTCCTGAAGAAGTAGATTATTATAGAAAAATTGGCCTATGTTTTTATTGTAAAGAAAGATTTCTAAAAATGCATACTTGTGAAAGGAAGCAACTTCTTTTGATTGATGTGCAAGATTTTAGTTTTGTGAAACTGAAGACTTGGAATATGAAGAACAAGAGATTATTGCTCGTGCATTATTTGGTACCTCTGCACCTCCAACAATTCAAAACATGAAGGTTTCTAGTTACATTAAGAAATGTCTTGTGACTATTTTGATTGATTTAGGAAGTTCTCACAATTTCATAGATGTGGGATTAGTCAAGAGGTTGAAAGGTTTTTTTAGATAAAGGTCATGTTTTTAATGTCAAGATAGCTGATGGTGAGAAAGTAGCTACTTAAGGTACATTAGCTCAGACCTCTATTACCGTATAAAAATTCACTCGTATCTCATATTTATGTCATTTCTTTTGGAGGGTGTGATGTTGTATTAGGAGTGCAATGGCTTAGAACCTTGTGGCCTATACTTTGAGATTTTGATAAGATTTATATGTAGTTCACAAAAGGGTCTCAAACCTTTTGTATCACCAATCATAATTCTAGTGAAGAACAGATTCAAGATAT